CAAGCCTACATATAAAAAAATATATTCATATAGCAGTGTACATAAACGATGCGCATCTTGCTCTGATCACACACAAATCTACAAATCTATACAGTCAGTACAATACTGACAAAGCATCGCTCCAAAGTAAAAATTCACAAATGAAAAAATACAATCCAGCAGTTTCAGCCCTTTTTAAAAAATTCCCAAAAAGAAAGAAAATGGGACAAAAAACAAGACTTTGCATCTGTCACATATATCAACAACATCTGGGTAAAGCTGAGAAAGCCTAAATTAGACAAATGAATCTATTGGACAACTTTAAACTGGATCAAACTAAGACGAGCACAGGATTAGGAAGATCGAATTCTGTTAATGGCATCATCCCAAATATCTTGTGTCAACTGGATTCCCTACTCTTTATCCCATGCATTTCTAAGTTTGACATTAGAATAAATCCTTGAATTTAAAATAAAACTATAGTTCATTGAAATCGTAGCTGTCTGAATTGGATTATACGCAATAATTTTTTTCCCAGGGCTGTTCAAGTGGTATAGAAGGAAAATTTGAGAAACATTTACAGATGAAAATTCCAACTTGTAAATAACAAAATAGATGAGTACCAGCTAAACTATATCTGGAAGATAAATTCGCAAAGCTATTAAATGCTCCTGATGTATAGAGGTTTCTTATTGGTTTTAAACCTCTATCATATCAAACTGGAAATGATGGGTCTTGTAAGACAAGAAGTTCTTGAGTTGCACTGGTTTATTGATTATGTTCCCTTGAAGAAGCTGTCACAATTTTTACCTTCTTGCAGCATTGTTGTAGTGGATTGAACTCTGACCGAACAGATACAGACAATAGCTGCATGCGTTTCGTCAACAGGAAGAGGGATCCACACAGCCACTCAACCTCTCAGCCAGACCTAAGACAGCCGATCCTTATCGCTCTCCATCATCACCAACACAGAGCCTGCTACCTGGAAACAAGAGCAGCCCGAGCAACATGGGCAAGGGTCGCATCCCCAGCCCCATCCCCATCCCAAGCATGGGCAGAAACACCTCTCTGGGTATGTGGCAAAAACATTACACCAATGTCTTCCTTGACTCCATGTCGGATGAACCTGTTTAACTTCCACCGGCATCCCTTGCATGTTGTCTCTCTAAATTACGCTTCCCTGAGCCAAGAAAAGAACAACAGTGTGTAAACACACTTCCTCACATCTATACTTGACATCCGCCCCCTTCCAACATGCACATCCTCACTCTTGTGTAAAAATGTTGTCGTCCCTTTAACCGGAAAAACAACAACAGAAAAAACACATCACACAGCTAGACTCTTGACTCCTCCCTGCCACCCACAGACACGCTGTGCTACGTTGCATGCGCCTGAACGACTGCAGACACCTCAACCCCACTGGGAGACCTCTGTGTGTACGTGTTTGTGTGTGTGTGAAATGTGACTGACTGTTTGTGTTTTACAGGAGTCCAAAGCCCTGTATTTAGCCCCAATGAAAACCCTGGCAGCGGAAACAGTGAAACCCAGCACACGTTATTTGCTTTTTAAGAGCTTCCTCGCATTATTGTCTGCCCGCGCTAGACCTTTTATACCCCTACCTCTGCTATCTGTTATTAAGACCAATCTAAAGCCTCTCATTATAACCCCCATCCCCCCACCCCTCACAAAACAATTTCACCAGCTTCTCTATAGTGGCTTTGAGGACGCGACACTTGTGTTCTCAGCAGTTATTTTCTGCCCGTTTTTTAACGGCCACCCAAGCGTACAGCGCTTCCTACAAGTCTGCTAATTAAACGAGGAGGGCAACGGAAACTTTGCATCCTTTTTATTTCTTTCAATTCCTCAAGTGCACATCAGCTTCAAAAGTGAGAAGTGTGGCACACAAACAACAAGGAGGGAGGGGAGGGTCTCTTTATGTTTTGAGCAACAACAAAAAAAACATATGGAGATGATAGAAGAGCCAAAATCAGATCGTATCAGACTCCCTGGTAAATCTTAATTAAAACCAAAATTAAATTGTTTTGCCTGTCACAGATTACAAATTATGGGAGAATTGCAGGAAAACTTACTTTCAATCAGTCATCTTACATCCAAGCTCTTCTTTTGTAAAACAAGAACAAAAGTAGGCTGCAATTCTCACTCTAAACCCTATTTTTTTTTTCTGCTTCGTCTTGTGCAGACATCCTGTCCAGCCTTAACTCCACAGCATTGTTTGGGGACCAAGACGCGGTGATGAAAGCCATCCAGGAGGCCAGGAGCATGAGGGAGCAGATCCAGAGGGAACAGCTCCACCATCAGCAGCAGCAGCCGGGCCACCAGAGTCTGGAGGCCAAACTGTCCGCACTCAGCAGCATGAACCTAAACAACAGCAACAAGGTGAGGGGGATGCGCTGATGAATGTAAGATGCACCCACTCTTGTCACTAATAAGTCAGGAAGTTGTTATCTCTTATGTAATACCAAATTCCTTCTCTTTGAGCTGGTTGTACATACATCTGATCTCACCATCTATATTGCTGAGTTCTTATTGGTGTATTCCAAATACATCACAAAGATCCTCTACTGAAGGAGAGAGAACTCATTGTCATCTTCAGGGAGCTTGATGAAGATGATCTAAGCTTTGCAGGCCATCAGAAAATGGTCATGTGATCAAATAGCGGCATTACTTAGTTAGGCTGTGGCATTTAAATTTGTGACTAAGGGCAAAAAAATGTACCAAGAAACATTTTTCACAGACCTATATACCAGCACCACCTATAAAAAAAAAAAGCAACTTTCGATATGAGAGCCATCAGCCCAGGATTAGTTTTGTAATTTGTTGTTGTTTGGTTTCATTGAGCACATTGTTGTCCCAGGATTCTCCTCTTACTGGACAGCAGTGAGAGCCCTACATTGTCGTCTACTACTACCCCATTTACGCCACCCTCTGAAAACTGAACCGCGCCAAGTTCGGGCCGAGCTTTGATCAGTTAACCCTGCTGATCTTGGTTCCTTACGACCATTTACACACCACACAAGCACGGTTCCTCGCCTCCTAGTGATGATCTACGATACTTCTCTAGAGGTATACACGCAAACCAACATGGCGGCACCCCTAACATTCAGGAATTTATGTTTTGTCATCATTGTGATATTTTGTTGTTTGCGGAGAGTCAGGCGAAAAAGGCAGTCTTTGCTGAATTTACTTGACAGAGTCTGCTTTTGGGAATTGGATATGACAAACAATAGGCTAACCAGAGCTTAAAAACGCTGGAAACAATGACGGACTTTCAGGTTCATCAAGCCGGGCGTACTCTGTGCGATTTTTTTCAATCGTTGCACACAGCTACTGCTCGCACTGTACGACTAAACCGCAGGGTTTAGTCGTACAGTGCGAGCTCACAGCTCACGATTTATTTTCGACAAGACACTCTCATGCCATCTGCCTGCTCACACTGTGAAACTAAAAACCAAGTCGGACTCAGCTCCACAGTAAGATGGAGCTGCTCTGTAGCTCTCTATCCTGAAGCCAAATAAATAGAAGGGGGATATTAAGCTCACTAGAGTGAACTGCTCTGCCTTGGCAATTTGTGCAATTTTGTGCTGAAAATCCTACAATGAAAAGGCGATGACATATTTGGAAAAAAGACATGGCTGAGCAAACGTGACTACTACGGTCTATAAATTTTACAGACAGAACTCCATTTCACTCATTGCATCCCTGCCATGCTGCTGTGTTTACATCTTAGTGGAAGAATAAAAAGAAGAATCCTTCTATGCGCATGCGCCCTGAGCGATTTGCCCACGACGGTCAGGAGAAAATTAAAAACATGCTTGATTTTCTCCCGACCTCACGATTCGGGAGGTGGTCGTGAGTGGCTGATCGCCCCTCGTACACTACACGACTCACGACACACGATCAGGCTGAAAGTCGGCCCAATTGAAAGATTCTTGCACGACTAGAAAATCTCACCGAAAATCGCACAGTGTATGCCCGGCTTTACACTGCTAAGCAAAATCATCACTGGAAATTGTGTGGGATGGTAGGAAAGCTAGTATTTTTGTGAATGTCTGAAATTTCATGGTCTGCTTATGGGCTCGTTGTTATCTGAGAGCCGAGCCAGAACTGAACCGCTCCAAGCCCTACTGATGAACTAGTACTGGTTTAAGCGCAGTTTGGTTGTGTCTGGCACGGTCCGGTTCAGTTGTGCCTGCTATTTACACTCAACAGTTATCTATGTTACAGTGCTTGGATGCTTGGACCGATCTCAGCATGGTTTAAAAAGAGTAGTGTAAATGGGACTTACTCTTCGACCCCTGCTTCAAGGTTTTCTTTGTGGTTGTAGCAATTTGTTGCACTTCCATTGTCCTTTACTGCACATTTTTTTTTTAACCGTTTAACATCAACAGGACTTTTTTTTGTCCGCACAGCTGCTCGCTGCATATTTTTGGATATGGCCCCGCCTTGTGCTTTTACCCAAATTTTTGCTTCTGGTGTCTAATCTCCACAAATTGTTATTTACCTGATGCCCAAATAAGCATTAAAAACTTTTTTTTCTTTTAGGTGATCCAGTTAGTTTTTTGAGCAGATTTCCTTTGCATAGCTGGTAACTAGCCCTAGGCCTGATCTCCAACTGACTGCCATGTATAGGTTTTCTTGCCACAGCATATCTTTGGAAATTACCTCATCAATATACCTTCAAGTGATGCAGAACCCTGTTGATGAGCCCAATCATTTTAATCTGGTGAATGGCAATAGGTAAACACCATACACTTCCAAAAGAGTCGGCCAAAATCAAGCTTGTTCCATCAATGCGGCCCTGTTGCTGGCAAGTGCAGCTAGATGATGAGTTCCCGTCACCACTGATTGGGGCTGGAACAACTAAATACCACAAACAATTGCAAATGATTTGACTCAGAAGCAAATAAAACACCCTAAACCAGCCCCAAATCTGTGTGCTAAAAACCAGATGTTACCAAGTATAAGTACTAGATTTTTGGCCAGTTTTAACGACCTAACACTTAATACTAATATACCACCTCCAACCTGCGTTGGGGATTCTTTGGTTCCCTCCTGGAGCTTTAGTATCTTTCTGCCTTGTTCTTAAACATTCTTCCAGAGACGGCGACACACAACTCTGCGGTTCTAAGGCCCCTTCATTCCTGTGGCTCATTTTTCTTTTGTATTACCTTGGCTGAGTGTCCAGGACTTCTCCTCAAACAGAGCCTTGGTCTGAGGAATATTCATGGATGATATTTGGTGTCATTTGGCTCAGGCTGCTGCTGCTCTTAAGAACGTCTCTTTTTTCTCCTCTCATCTCTATGGCCACCCAGAAGCCAAGAGCTTTGAAGAGGGAGCAGCTGGGCCAATGACAAGTGATGGTTTTGGCGTGTTAGCGTGTGTATGTTTGTGAGCTTGCCTTGACTATATGGGTTTGCCTTTTTTTTTGATTTGATAGATCTTGTTAACATTAGCCTGTGTCCTTGTGTGTGTTTTTGGCCTGCAGGAGGTCAATTAAAAGGTGTTTTTTTTTTCTTTTCTTTTGAGAGAGAAAGCCTCCTTGTCTAGAATTCTGTATCCAGTTTCCATTCTCCACAGTTTGCAGAGCTTGTCCTGTTGATGGGATTTTTTTTTGCCAATTTTAATGTCTATTCAAGAACTTTGAAGCTATAAAACCAGCTTTGAAAGTAAATATATTTTCTACAGCCATTAAAATAGGTTTTATGTATAGTTTCAGAAAGCAAAAAAATATTTTTCAGCATTATATGCAAGTCTAGCTAGTTTGCTTTTGAGATAAATAAATGAGCAAGAAATTCCAAACTTTTGTCACTTTAAGGGTGGAGCAACTTCAAAAAGTAAACTGCCTGTGATTGGTTACATTTCAAGAAATCCCACCTCAGTGCCGTTTTCTTTCTAGTTACGGCTAGTAATGTCAGCAAGGCATCTTTCGGCTAATAGCTGTTCTCTTCTAGTGTAGAATTTTGACTTCATATGCATCAGCCATCTCCGTCATCAAAGACGTCTTCATCAACTTGAAGTCAAAAAATGTATAAAAATGAACTCAAAGCCTCACTTTTTTGCAATTAACAGTGAAGCTAATGTTAGCTTAGCTCATACGAAGTTAATAATTCCACATGAAACATTTTAGACAATATTGCTACTAGTGTTAGAACACATTCATGACTATCAATGACTTTACTTAACCAACTTTTACTCTTTAAAAGAACAGCTATTAGCCTCAAGATGCTTCACTAACATTACAAGCAACTAGGAAGAAAATGTAGAGAAGGAGCATGGATTGAGGGTCGTGCGGTGTTAAATCTGCACGCATAGAACGCTTAAAATGTACGTTGAGATTAGTACAAGTAGTAACAACGTTCACACAGAAAAGTGTTCTTTGGAAAAAAAACTTTTGTATGATGTGTTTTCTAAAGAGAAATTATGGGATTTATGAGTTTCTCATGGTTCAGTCCACCATTCAGACTTGATCAAGATACAGATTTGCCACAAACAACATTCTCTGCCCATCTGGAACTGTTATCTCTTCTGTTGTCTGTCTCTTGGGCTTATTAAAATGGAGCCTTCGTACCGAGATCCCATTTCCACGGGAGAAAGTTACATCCCAAACATTTTTAATCAGTCTGAGCAGCCCATCATGGACTCTAACGATTATGGTGACTCTCCTGTGCAATTGATCCCATGTTGCTTAAAACCAAGCAGAGAGAAGGGGAGGAGGGAACTTATAAATATTTTAGGGGTGGAGACTTTGAACACTCCTCAACCCCAAGTAGGTCATGATTGGTGCGCTCTAAGGCTGGTTTATTTGGAGTCTTTTAGACTTGTTTGCTTTGCCTCTTTAGGAGGAAAACATTTGAAATCTGAAAAAAATAAAATAAAAATATATATATATGTATATATATATATATACATATATATATATATAGTGATTTGCCCAACATTCTGTCCCAAGTGGGTTTTTCGTTATAAGTCATTACACCAGTAAACACTACAAAAAAATACTCATAAACATAAATTATATAACAGCTGCAGATGAATTCCTAATAAAAGTTTAATGTGAGTTGTCTACTGCAGGACCAGAGATGAGTTTTTGCTTCAAAGCGATTTTTTTTTTTTTTTTTTAAGGTGGGTGGCTTATACAAAGAAAAGTGATGTGTTGCTGGAACTCTGCATTTTCGGAAACATTTTATAGGAACCAAACCAAAGCAATGCAGTTATTTAGTTTACAGCTGCAAGCCTACAAATAAAAATCTCATAGGGAAAGTTTCAAAGTGATTGTTTCCTGTTTAAAGATGTGGGGATATGTTGTCATGTTGTTGTTCACCACCTAACAACAGGCGCTAACACACTTTTATTTTTCTCTCAGATGTGAACGCATC